TCTCTGTACAATGGTAGACACAGACCTCGACCCTTGCAGCCACAGCCCGGAAGTTACCACGCCTATGATCATTCATATGGTGGCTTTCCTTCAGACCCAACTTATTACAGGTAGATTGCCGCTGCTGCCACAATATGTACTGCTTGTCCAAGACATAGCAGTATTTAAAGTTTAACTTTGAAATGTGCATGTGCTTTGCAGTTTTGTCATCCATTAAAGACGATTTATTGAATAAGAGATCTGAGGATTGAATGGCAAGGTGTTGTCTCATGGTGTTTACCCTGTCTGGGACTGACCGTCTGTTTTATTGTAGAATAACGTGACCTTTTTCCAGATTTGGTTTTGATTCCCAAAGCAGTGATGATTACAGTTCAAGGAACTGACTGATTTGGCTGGACAGTTGTGAAATTCTGTAAATAGAGTGGTCTAGTTAGCCAGTTGTTGGAGATATTGTAAAGTCTTTTGAGTTTATTGAAGATGTCCCGAAACTTCTGAATATTGCAACAAAATCAAAACTCAACTTACAAGTAGATTAACACGCTAACGAGAAGGTTTAGTTTCTAGGCCTTAGTTGTATAAAAGTCGGATGACGTTATCCAACGGATAAATGGCTCTTCAGCGGATAAGTGATTGCAAAACCTACTACGCTGCCCACCGAATAGGGATTTATCCAACCTTTGAACGACTGGGGCCTGGACAGCAAGTGTCCTGTATTCAATAGATTTATGCGTTTTATCTGCAACTCTTAGGCGATAGGAGTTTGCAGACCAGTATTTTGTTGTAATCCTTTCTCTCAGGCACATTCTTATGCAATCTTCTGTTGTATTTCATTACCTTTGTGAACAGTGCTCCACCAGATTACTACACCTCGCATTACAGCGGGAGGCAGTTGTCGTCGTATGAACAAGTTCATGGTGTGATGGGGTACCCATATACGCAGCGCGGTGATTACCACCCTTATTCAAGGATAATTGACTACCCTGAAACTATCATGCATAGGGGGATTCTACTGCCACAGGGAAGGAGTCCTTACATTCCATCGGATGTTGGTGATGATAAGGTTTGTTCATCTGCACATGTTTTCTCTGTTCATTCTGTAATCTGATTCTCCATGTACTGGAATCACGAAAAACCAGTTTTAAATGATACTAGTGCACTTCTCGGCGGTGCTTTCCAGTTTTTAAAAAAATTTTTTTTTTTTTGTCATCAGTATCTTTTATCCTCACCTGAATCAATATAGAATCACTTGTCAACACTTGCACCCGTAAATGATGCTATTTTTGTGTGAAATTTTTCTAGAATGACATATTATCCCAGCGGAAAAGCGATGCGACCCTTGACTTTGATCCGTCTGAGGTTTGGAGGAAGGACAATGACAGTGGTGTCAGCTGTGGTTCCCCTCTGAGCCACTCTCCTGCAGCCAGTCAATCGTCAAACTCCAGCTTGTCACCAAGGCAACAGTCTCCTGTAGGGTGGCAACATGGTAATGATGCTACTGACATTTGGAGAAACATAAATGAAGACAGCAATGGTTTCCCGTCATCTTTAACCATCACTGACTCGACGCAAATTTGGAGTCCACCTCGTGGAAATGAGGTATTCTCAAAACAGATTGAATCTTTGAACTATAATTGAGCTCTTTGCCAAAGAATTGATCTTTTGACTTGTAGCCTTTGTGTGGCTATCTCAAACTAATCTTAGCTCAATTTATTTTTAGCATTCTCAGGTGCGCAAGTTATGGCATCCACTTTATGACTTGAATGACGAATGGTCGAGGTAGGCATAAAAGGATTCTGTTTTGGTTTTAACTTATTAAAAGGAGGGAAGAGAAACGGATTGGGGAGTGGAAGATTGTGTACTATTTGAACCTGCTGTTAGCTAAGGAAGCGTTAAACCATTTAAGACACAAAATAACCGCATGTAAATAGTTTGAAAGGTTGTTTGGATTTTTTTTCTGCGTGATATTCAAAACCAGGAAAGGTAGACCATGGTAGCTTATCTTGCAACCTGCCTGCAGATGTTAATTGTTACGCAGCGTTGAAATTGTTTTACGTGATAAAAGCGAAAGATTCTAGTGGTTTTTTAATGTTCTTATTTACCAGCCAAGAGGAGCAGATCAAGAAAGATGAACAGTATGCACGTGCTCTTCAGGAACAGCTGAAGCAAGGTGAAACAACAACCCCTCCGGAAACAAGAGGAAGCGAGCTGCCATCGCAGGGCCGTGACCCACAAGTGAGTGAGAAGGTCAGGGGGGTGCATTAACGACTGCTCGTTTATCTTACATAACGTGATTTCAGTAAATTCAAATTTTGGTTGTTAGTAGTATTTTTAAGGTCTTCACCAAAGGCAAGGTTTCTTCGAGGTGTTATTTTACCTTCTCTATCAGAATTTTCTTCAGCACATAGTGATTTCTCCGCATAATCTGACCCTCACTTTCCCTTCCAGGATGTTCCTGACTGCGGCTTGACTATTGATAACTTGGAGACCGAGGCCGAAATGAAGCGGAGAAAGCACGAAGAACACAGGCGCCTGCTACAGGAACGCCGACAACTTCTCCAACAACAAGAGCGAGAAAAGCAGGAACGTGACGACCGCAAACTTGCGGAAGAATTGGCTCTTCGAGATGCTCAGCAAGCCGGCATAGTACCAGATCCTCGCTGTATCGTGAAGCCTTCTTTTGCCAACGTGATCTCCCGCGGGGCCCCCATGGGGCTTGGCTTCAGTGGTAAGGGGAGTGATATTCCAGGGGAGCATGACCCTTTCCGTGGGTTGAGCAGCTACCGTAGCTCCTGTGCATCCTCTTGGACCAGTAGTGATGATGTCATGGATGCGTCAAAGGTGACGTCAGGCTGTAACGGAGATATCCGCGTGCAAGAGTGAAATGTTGTCAATGTTAAATAGGAATCGTCATTGTACAAAGTGTTAGCTTGAATAATAACTTTTAAGAGTGTTGACGATTATGCAAAGAATCGCACCCGGGTCGAATCGCTTGACAGTTTCTTATTCTAGGTGTTTTATGGAATGTTCCCTTTTTTACGGTGTGTTTAGCTTGATTATCTCCCAGTTTAACTGGATATTTCGTCTTGTCTTTAACTAATCATTGTTAAATTGAAAGCACTTTTAAAGTGCCGGTCAGTAGTCAAGGTTTTCAGTGAAATGTTTATCAATGGTTCGTAGGAAACTGGTTGTATTTTTACAGAATTTTGGATTCTGTAAGCGTAATGATAGTGCAGCAATTAGTTTTAGAAATTACCGATTTCGAATTTTTGTGTTGACTTTTGATACTAGCGGGTTTGAATAGACAGTCAGACGTCAACTCTTTCCCTGACTCTTTCAATCTGTTGGTTGGAAGGGAAAAGCTGCGAACGAGGCTAAGTCTAAAGCGAGGAAGCTGTGATGCATGAGCTGTTCACAACGAAAATGCTTCAGAGCAGATGATTATCGCGTGATGAGACTGCACTTAAACAAATGCGATTGACATCAAAGGGTAAACTCCAAATTTATATAAACAATTAGGAAATCGTTTCAATCAAAATGGTTAATTTGTTTTGATGTAAATCTATTGTGAAGAGAACATGATTAGTGTTCAAGTTGAAATATCAATCCCTGTTATCTGCTTGAATCTTGAAGGCTTGAGGGAAGCACAGCTTTCCTCTCCATTCTGAAAAACATTGCGAAAAGAAAAAGTGCAAGAGAGTTCAAGGATGATTTGTGTAGACGAATGCTTTTTACTCTTTTGAAGGACAGCGACGTTCGTTGTCGTTGAAGAATTAAACTGGACTCTCGTCTAGTAAATTAGTGATAAGCATGTCTTTGTGTATTTGGCCCAGGTGGCAGTAAGAGATTTGAGAGGCGAAATCGTATTATATTAGCTCTTTAACTGACCGAAGGCATTCGTTTATTCTTTCAAGAATCGTTTGATTAACTCTTGACAAACGTAGTGTCCATTGATAAATATGTATCGTGAGAAAAAAAAATAATAATGTGATTTGACTTGCTGACAATTTATGGTGTCGTGTAAAACAATGGATGTATTTCGTCATTTCAGATAGAGTTAGTATTAACGAAAAGAAACTGTAAATTAGTATTGTGAAGTTATATTTTTGGCTAGGTCAGTGATACGTTTGTCTTGTTTTTTTGATTTTAGTGATTTAGTATTGCCATATCTTCTGTATGTTACTTTTTTCAAACATTTGCTCAATGGTTGTCCAATTTTTGGCATTGTCAATTTTTTAATTTGTTATTGCTATTATATATACATATAGATGTCGTGAATTGTTAAAACTCGGTAATAAGGAAATGTGTTTTGTGTTTCTTAACCGTATATTTATATTGCGTAGTTTGGGTTGAAGCTGGGGGAGTTTTGTCCGTTGAATTTTAGATACAATCTGCCCTTTTTTTTAGCGTGAGTGCTTTCTAAAGTTTGCTAGGAAACAATTTAAGTTTATGAATTAATCAAATCTTCACGAAAAAAGCAACCAACTAGCTTTAAACTTTCGTTCATGTTCTTAAAAGATTAACTTTTGAATTCGGGTTCAAATGCGTGTTAATACTCATGAGGGTTTGAGATTTTGATATTTAACGAAATATTTCAGTGGCGATAAATTATTATTCCGCTCTGATCTGTAGTGATGGACTATGTGGGAGGGTTTGTAATTCTAAGAGTGGCGATTTGAAGGCATTACTCAGCCTATTAATTACTGCTATTAAAAAGAATTATGTATAATATTAGTACTCATTAGAAATATTAAAGTAGGTCGTGACAATTTTGGCCCCAAAATTTATTTAGCGCCGCAGGTGCGCAAGTGTGCGGTACACCATAATTGGGCAACTTGTCGTTTTGTTTTCGTCGCATGGCTTTCATTTTTCCTTGGGAGGAGAGACTCGGGAAGGTGTGAATTAAATCAAATGGAAGCCAAACTGTCGTAAAGGAACGAGTTGGTTGCGCCTTGATTATCATGATTCTAGCGCGGAAATAAAAGACACCAAACGATTGTAAACGCGTTGTTATAGTATATTTTATTGTACAATAAATTTGTATGTTGTTTACCAGTGGAAAAGGCTAATAAAAGTTGGTAATGTGAGATCAAAGGTTATCCTTTCGCGTGGCTTTAAGTAGTGAAATATGTTTTTGCTAGAGATACGTTTTCATTCCTTTGTGCCGACTGTTTTTGAATATTGTGGGGAAATGAAATTTTTTTTCCATTCCCGTTTTTCGTCTATTTTCAGCGCTGTTAAAAACGGAGCTAAGTCGCATGTCCAAAGTCTATTCCCTTTTCCTCCATTCAATTTTTGACAATTTTGACCGTTCTCGGAAATTGCTGTTTGATTTCGGACGTTTGCCTAAATTTTCGGATGGTTCCATTCATTGTCGGACCCTTGAGTCTGTTATCGGACTCTTTCGTCCGTATTCACAGTATTTGTTCGATGTTTCTTCCCGTAAGCTTTTGTCGCTCCGTTCATTTTTGTTCGAAAGGCTCCGCTCTAGAAGAAGTCTCTGGCCTATTTTTTTAATATCTATTATTGTTTATACAATAAGCATTGTTTTTAAGTATTCATGATATTTTCTCTTGACATAAACGCACATGTATCGGTAAAAGCTCGGTTCATGCAACAAACGAATGGGAGAAAACTTTCATCTTCGGCGCATGACGTTATTCCAATCAAACATGGCCGCCAGACTAAAACGAGAAACTTGAATTCATGGAGAATTTTTGATTGAGCGTCTTTACTGCCAAAACTAAAGAAATCACAAGGGACAAAATGCTCTACAGGGCCAATGAGCACTCAAAGGAAAAATGAGTGTTAGAGGCGCGGGAAAACGCGGATGACCAAGTCGCGATTGGTTTTCTAATCTTGAATCTTATTGGTTGGAGTTTTCTGCACCAATCACAGGTCACTTCCCGGATGACTTTCGTCACTCAATTGAAAACTGTATCGATCGCTGAAGCAATTCTCTATGCGCTCTATAAAGCGGTATGGACGAAGTCTTGTCCGTTCAAATAAACATACCCCCCCTCCTTTACAAATTACATTAAACCACGCGACATATCATGATAAAATTAGCGTTCCAAAAAATAAAAATAGGCATGAATAAAACACACCTGGCTGATGGACTGCGTTGTGAATGAGTAGGTCTTGTTTTGACCGAACTGCAAATTTATAAAAACTTCTGAATGACTTCTGGATCTAAACATGGGTGATTTCACTAGCAACTTAGCCAAATTGGAGCTTTCACTTATTTAACAATCTAGTGTTACATCAGTCATTTCCAATTTATTTCCATGGGAAATGCTTACGTCTAGTTTTCTATCGCTGTATGGAAATGGATTTTGTGGCCTCCACATCTGGAGAGATGTAGCGTGACAGCTGTAATCTACAGGCGTGGTTGCGAGCACATTACCATGCAAAACTGTTTCACCCTCTCTATTGGTAAACCAAACCCCGCGTTTGGCCAAGATAGCTGAAGAAACATCTTGCGTTCCTGCTCAGTCCCTCATCTATCCGCGGCACGTTATACATTTTTTGATTTCCTTCTTTATGTCCCTCTTAATCAGCCCGTAAAAAAAGGGATTCAGGGCAGAGTGAGCCAGAAGGAACAACCACGATATATTCATAGTGGTGTGAGGCGAGTGAGTCGGAGCTTCTGTGTTGCTGAAAGATTGTTTAAAATGAAGATAGGCTGCAAAGAGCCAGCAACCAACGAACACCAAGATCACGATGCCAAGTACCGTTATAGATCGATCGTGATTTGGATGTCTTGGTTTTGCCTTGAGAGGTGCAGTTTTACCATCTGTAGAGCGTTCCACATCAGATTCCATTCCAGCACTTGACAATTCGCTCTGTGCTCTACTCCTTGCACTGGCCACGGTCAGATTCGGTGCAGTGAATTCTGTTTCTTTCAGCACATCTTCTGCAGACATAGTAACGGAGTAGTTGAAGTCCACTTGATCTTTGAGGCGCTTCTCCTGTTTCTTATGTCTCTGTATGATGCACACGATTCGCAAGTACGCCAGAGGTAGCGCAATGCAAGGAAGTCCCACAAACAGAAGTGTTTCGGTGATGGCAAACGCTTTCATCCCCGTTCCCTGTTCCTCAGGACTCTTCAGCAGGTAGGTGAAGTGAAGGAGGGTCACGAATAAAGGAACGAACCAACATAACAAGATAGGGATCAAGTACTGACTGACTTCAATTACGACGGGGTACGTTAAAGGACGAGTGACAGACTTGTAACGATCCCAAGTCACCAGACATAAGCTCAACAGTGAGGTGTAGACGAAAAATTCGTACATCGCCAGCTGGATCTCTCTGGAGCATGTTGTCCAGTAGGTGCATAGTAACTCAGGTGGGGTTATAAACAAGCCAACGCACAAGTCCGCCAAGTTTAAGGACAGGACAAACTTGTTTGACAGGTTGCGTCGCAGCCTCCGTCTTGTTACGAGGAGAAATATCAGTGGGGTATTTCCGAGAATCGTGAAAAGTGCGAGAAACACTCGTATAGTCCAGTACAAGCGGCTTTTCGCAGGATTGAACGAATGAAGACGTTCTGTAGAAGGCCCCACGGCAACTGAAGTGTTTGAACCAGTTGCCATTAAAATGATTGATCCAAGTTCTGAAGCAAGAAACAGAGATCAGCGCATAAGATCATAAGATCAGCGCATTACCTGAACTCTTTTTTTAAAGAACCTTTTTATGATAAAATTTGAGGCTGAAATTAATCCAATGTTGAGAGCGCTGGTGTTTAGAACGTGCCAAGCTGATAATAGAAGGTAACTAGGGACGAACGAAACTCTTTTATTTTCTATACATTTTTTCGGAACGAAAAGCACACAGTAACACAGTGACCTCCACCTGTTTCCCAGAGCATAATTCTGTTTCTAAAGCAAGCAGAATTTTGGGCAGAAAACGTCATGTCTAAGAACTGAGTTGATCATTTAGACTGGCCACCGCAATTAATTTTTTAACCTATTCAAATTGTCTACTTAGTTGGTAAAACCAAATTACCTTGTAATATCCCCCACAGACAAAACACTACAGTTTCTTTAGAAACTTACCCCTTTTATTCGTTGTTTACTAGTTTGGTGAGCAGATATGACACGCATTGGAATTGGAGACAAAGACTCCCGATACGAAATTAGAGACGTTTAAGACACCTGTTAGAGATACGTGCCTACTTTCAGCCCTGCAAGAAAAATTTCCCCGTACACTAAACATCTTTTTCTTTAGTTTTATTTGCTAAATAGACCAAGTTACTGGGGGGAAAATTGAAGGAAAAAATATAAGAAACATGCATCAAAATAGCCGTAACTTAGATTTCAGCACCATTTTAATTTTTTTGGTGCCGGTTTTTCTAAGCGGAAGATGATAAATGTTTGCTTACCTTGGGGACAGAATTCTGTTTCGCAAATGTTCTTATTATCAATTGTGCTGCCATGTTGAACGTATGTAAATAGCAAAAAACGATGAGATGTTTGTCAGTAGAACGGAAAGATAAAATTAATTATGATAAAAATCCTTTATCAGTTATTTCCACAATACACCGTTTTGTCTCAAAAATTTTTGATTGCTACTGGGTTCATATCTTTGACTTTTAATTTTATTTTTTTGTTTTAATTACTTCTAGCTTACACCTGGAGGGTGTGTCGAATCTAATGGACATACATTTCTAAAAGTAAACCCGCTCATCAGGTTTCGTTCAAATAAGCAAAGCAAAGTTTTTTGATACAGAGCCAGTTTCATAATCATTCTAAGCTTTTGAGTCATGTCCTTGCTATTCTAGAGTTCCTTTTACAATGCTTTTAAACGTCAGCAATCATTGTCATAGTCCAATTAAAGCGATTTGATAAAGATGTCTTACCATCCTTGTCGATATATTTTGTTTAAGATCGAATGACAGCATATGAGAGAAATTCCGGTTGGCGCAATCGGCCTCTTTTTCTTTAATCTCCCTGAAAACTTTCTGGAACTCGGCGCGAACAGTGGGTGGGTTCTTTCACGTCTTCTACGTTAAGGGCAAAAACGTGCGCCTAAAAGTTTTAGTTCTTGACCAGGAGGCGTAAAACCACTTTCATATGTCCTTGTGAGGACTAAAAATTCCCAGTTATTCAAGATTACAAGTGTTGATCCAATTCAGAGCTCCAACCATCGACCACTCGCGCGGTATTACGGCACCGCCTCTTCCAATTTGTTCTTTGAGCTTCGTAATTTTTTTTCTCAGTTTTATCGTCAGAATCATCAGCCTTATTTCTATGGCTTTTTGAGGCTATTTTACAGTTGTATCAACCCAGTTAATGATTATAAGCGAATTATGTTGTAGTATATCTTATCGACGTAGCAATACATTTTCTTTAAAAACTTGCCCCCTTTATTGATTTGTTATTTCTATGGACTCTAAGAGAACTCTACTCAGTTAAAGAACCTTGCCATATGCGAATGCATTTTGTTTGTCGTCTCAATTGGCGCCAAATCTCCCTTCAGCTTAAAAGCTTATCCTTAAGCTTTTGATACTCTGATTCATTCTTTCAACTTAAGCTACAAATATGCAATTGTATTATTATAATAAATTCACCATCATCATTCTGAAAAAAAAAATGATTGATATATCTAGATTCTGAAAATAGGATGTATTACTTGGCAAATTTACCTTAAAGGGCAAAAGAAAGAAAACGGAAATTAAGGAAAATTGTAAATAATTGTTGAGAAACCCAAACATTGCAGCTTGCGGGAAGAATTATCCAGGATCATGATTGCAACCAAAAAAAGAATTGGAGACCTAATTACAAGATGTTACAGCCATCTGTTGAATTTAAGATGTGTTTATTGCTTTCAAACTGACTAAAAGTTTAGAACAGTAAAAGTGACTGTAACGAACGCAAGTTATCGACTTTCTTTTTTACGGCAATTAATAGGATCTAGTCTTGAAAAAAAGGAAAAGAGGTAAAAAACATTATCGATATCAGTCTGCATGAATAGATTTCTGGGATAATGTCAGTTAGTTATACCGCGTGCGGCTTATAACACCGGCTGTCATTCTACTGCGCTGCTTGGGAAACGTCACAAAGAGACAGAATGTAGATTAAGAATAACGCCGCAAGATTTCACATGGTGAACATGACTTATTTGCAATAAGCTTTTACCTGTACCCCGAAAATGCAATTTCATGATTGTTCGTTTTTTCAAAGACAACAGGAACGCATTTAGATTTAACTCCAGCAGTGGTCGTTAATTGTATGTGATCAATTATTGATAACATATGAGTCATCTCTTTTTAAGATGCGGTGAAAGGGCTTTAAAAGTCGATAATTCAGCGAAATGTTTAAGTGTAGCTGTCGGCGAGTAGAATGAAAATGATTAAAAATTCAAAATGTCTTTCAAATCTGAATTATTTGTTGGCCGTACGTGACTCACTAAAAAAAGTAGAAACACAAACTACAACCTCAAGATTCACCTCTCAGGGTTTGTTTTGTGCATGTTATAGTTTCAGATTTTTAAGCCATGGCAAAACGTATTACTCTCAGGCTTGAATTTTCGTCCTCAAAAAACTTACGTAGGGAGTAATTCATTAACGAAAAAAGGCAAACAAAGCAAAAGCCCTTGCCGTAAGTCAAATGTAGGAGTTCAAGATTTGAAAGCTATCATCATTCCTGATTGCTTCTTAACCAACATATCCCGTCCCACGGCAACAGAAAGCTTTGGACAGAATGTTCACCTACAAATTATCATAAGTGTTAAGTTTCTACCTATAGCCGACTTTTATTCCAGAGCTCATAATTTATTTGATGCGTCTGCAACGACAAATATTTGGCCATGAGTAGCCGTTAGAACGAACAAGTAAGGATGAAATAAAGATATTTTAAAATTTACGCCGAAAAGAAAATTTAGGGAAACGAATTTAGCCAACATTTTTATCAGACGTCGGTAACATGTATTTTGTGACACGAGTTTTCCTACGACGACAAAATTATGACGCAAAATGCCCTCTGTGAAAAACGATAATACGCGAAAATGCCGGCTTAAAAAAAATATTTCTTATGCACAAAAAGGCAAAAGAAATATACCCACCTTTTTATCGAGGAAGCACTCCTAAAACCATTATTTGCGGTACACAAAAACACTCCGTACTTGACACGAATTGTTATAACTTTGGGTTATCCGTGTGGCATATTGAAATTAGATGGCAGGAAATCCAATTGGCCGGAGCTGTCACGTGATCTGTAATAACAGATTTCCCGCTTATCAGCGCACTCACTTGATGTGTCTTTTCACTCACCGAGAGACAGGTCGTTTATTCTTACAACTCTCTTAAAATTAACTTAGGGCTTTCACCTGCGGAAAAAAAAAATGTTTTCTCCTTTTATCTTTAAAACGTTCAATTTTACGGTGTCGTGCAGTGAATAATTTTTTCATTCGTGATCTTCGCTCGAAACCGCAAAATTTAAAATTTATACACAACATTGAGATTGAATACATTTGAAACCAACACCTGTAATTATTTCCTAATTTGTTTGAATTATTCATGAAAACGTGCGAGATAAATAATAAGAGAGGGATTACTATTTTTGGTAACTGACAACACTGGTATACAGTTGGGAGAGATGTCTTACTCACCAAAAGGGGAATTATAATTTGATATACCACATAGAACCTCTAATTCATCGACAATATGGTGTGGCAGTTTTAGGGAGGCATTAGGAATCAAATCTTTAGGAGTGTGAACTTTTGGACCTTATGGTCAAACCGGTGAAAAACAAATAAATGTAATTAACTTGTTTTTATTATTTTCAGATATGGGAAAAGAATTTAGTCAAAACATCCAAAAACGCTTTAGATACAAATCGTGGAAGTCTGGTTTTTCGAGATAAGGCAGTACTGATGCTGGCAAAACATAACTGACTTCTGAAGCCCTCTCTCGAGTAGTTTACGTGGTACAAAGCCCTATCGTTTTGTCGTCATAAATTCGGATGTTATTTCTTTCTCTTTTTTTTTACCAAAAAATCAAGAGGAAAAAAAATTCTCTACCTTAGCTTTTTCCTCTTTGCTGATTGGTTCTGTTCTGCAAGCCTGAGAATTTTTTGCACATCGTTCAGAACGAATTTTCACGAAAAGTTAAGGAGTCCGATGGCTAAGCAATTGCCTTCAAATTTGGCAGCTGTGAGAGGTTCTTCTCTTTGATATTGAAAAATAGATGGAACCGCCGATGTAGTAAAACGTGACCTCACGCTTTATAAATATTTTTAAACTGAGTCGGAAAGGTCAGGGAAATAAGGGATTGGAGAGAAGAATGAAAATGGCCAAGGTGTTGGCATCAGCGATGGGGAAGCACACTCAAAATGGCTTTGTACCGGGGTTCTCCGTCCTTATTACCAAATAGGGCTACTCTTTTAAACTTATACATCTACTTTTGTCAGAAAGGTACTCTTTTCATCTATTTCCGCATAGGTAGTGGTCTTGGATTACATATGTCTACGCTAAGACATTTTGTAGTAACAAAATAAAGGAAAAAGGCAAGATAGTCTCTACGATAGCCAATTCACATCATCAACTCAAGCTCTATTTATTATAAGTAGTATTATCAAATTAAAGTTATTATAACCATTACTATTGCCATTGTAAACAACTTAAAGAGAACCAAACGAATAAGAAACGAGATCGCTGTAAGTTTTTCATCCAGTCTCGTTACCAGTGTCCCACAGACTCGGGTCACGATTTGCATTTCACTTCCGCAGTTCGTGGCTTCAAGCGCTTGTCGAGTCGAAATTTTAATAATTCATCAGAAGTGAACTGCTTTTTTGGCTATTCCTGAAGATCTGGTGGTGGATTGTGGTGTGTATCATCGAAGGAGTCGCTGAAACCAGTGTAAATAACGTGTTCAAGGTGGGTTTTTGCTTAACACTGTCTGACCTCTGGAAGAACGCATGAAACATGAGTTCAATGCAATTAGTTTGAATTCTGCAGAGCCAGAAGAAAGAAAATAAAGATAATTTTTACACACCGCAAGTGTAGACCATGTATGCCGCCAGGCTCTAAATATGAAATATTAGATCCTGGTCACGGTTTCGCTTTTGAAAATGGGAAACTAATTTTTCGATGCCAGTGTTCTACTTTTTTTCGACTGTGCGTTTTGTGTCACACAAGCGGGGCGTACGTTTCTGTCTAATAAGCGTCACAAGCGGCTGGAACTGAGTTAAGATTTGTATATGGTATACATGTGCACTGACGGTTGCGTTTAAATGTTTCCTGTGAAACCTGTAACCTCATCGCGGTCATCACCCGAACCACATGAAAGGTTTTAAGAAAAGCAACGAAATTAAGACTTCATCTGCGATTTACCCGAGTAACTGAGCTCAATGGTTCGCATATTGATAACAGCGCATTAATTTCAGACAATAGTATTTAAGATGAATTGGCTTTAAGTTAAAGCCAATTCATCTTAAACGATTTTTCTAACGAAAGATAACACTGATATTTCATGGTGAATACTAAATCATAGTAAATTTGCCGTATCTCCGGTGGTGTTCATGAATATAATACAATAACGTGACGGAAATTCGTGTTCGTGGTACGGTTATTTTCATTGCTTCGTGCCACCCAACTCACGTCCATTTCACTCGCCTTTTTTTTTTTTTTTTTCCGATTACGATAATAATGATTTCAAAACGTTTGATTCTGGTCATTGATTGAATATAATGATCACTCTTACCTCGATAAATCATCGATAGCCTGGCCCGTTTAACCTTTTGACCCCCTAAGAGTGAGTAGCATCTAATTTCTCCTTACAATATCACCCCTGAATCAAGCATTAAGGTCACAAGAATAAAGGAAATGATCACCAACTAAAGAAACTCTTCATTGTTGGTTGAATTCTCCTTGTAAGCTCATTTGTAAATGTATAGAGAACAGTATGGAGAATATGCATACTGATGTAAAGGTGTAAAGGGTTAATGAAGGGTCGATTTCAAGTTTAACTTGCATCACAGAGCGGATTCGCGTCGTATCTGGCTTTTGAAAATAAAACCTATGTTGAATCGGTTGACTCAAGACTTATCGGAGTCATATCCAAATTAATTAGCAAAATTTAACTGTTATTGGCTGACCTTCTAAAAACTCCAAAGTTTTTAATTAGAACTACCGTATTACCGCTGGCATTTAAATTAAATGAGGAAATTCCTTTACTGATGATTGGGTTGTTAAGTTGCCTATAAATGCTAAACGAGGGAAGCGTTATGAATAAATTTTTTGCAAGAATTATGATGTATCTGAAAGCTTTTTCTTTTTTTTTTCAGGGCCGGAGAAACTAAAGTTAATGCCATGGCATCTACGTCGCATTCCTCTGCACCAGCTGGTCCCGCAAGTGAAATAAGCATACCAAAGTACAGTAACTGGCTCACTGTGGGTCATGCCTTAGTAAACGTACTTTGTAAGGGCCTGCGGCCTTATGTTACACGAGAGATGGATTGTCTGTATAAGTGCATAAAAAACAGAGTTGCGGATCTTCCCGATGCGGGACCCTGCCAATGTAAAACAAGAACTCATAAAATGGAGAAATGTGCATGGGCATGTGAACTTCAGTTTTTTCACCATCGAAACAAACCACACTGGAAACAAAGTGATCCCAGCAAGTGGGCGGATCCAGATCTTGGTCCTTGGGAAATAGCTAAGCTGTATATACCTGAATTGAGTCCAGGCTCCATTATTAATGGCGCGGACGACATGGATATTACTGGTATTTTGAACCTCATGTACTGGTGCAACAAATTTAAAATTTTACAGACTCGAGTCGAAGAAACTCGAAAAGCACGTAATACAAAGTGGGCTCACGTGCCGAAGCTAGAACTAACAGATGAAGAAAGAAAGGCTGTCCTTGATGCTGTTGAAAAACTGCTCGAAGATTCCGCATTGGCCGATGACTCTGCCGCTAAAAAGGCCCGAGATGAAATATTACAGTTGAAATGCGACTTACAAACATTCGACTTACAAACATTCGAGCACCAAGTATTAATCCAGCACCGAAATGTGACTGAAAAAGATGTTTCAAACATGAAGAACGAGCTGAAAATTCTAAAAAGGGATCAGTCAAAACACAATAAAAGGTTTCGAGGAAGGTTGGAAGGACGTCTTCGTAACATGAGGATGGCTTTAGAAAACGTAGACAGAAGGATGCAGGAAAGGGAGTCAAAACACAATAAAAGGCTTCGAATGCAGTTCAGACGTCTTCGTAACACGGAGAAGGCTTTGGAAAACGTAAACAGAGGGATACAGGAAAGAGTTCCTCTCACAAAGCTTGTCCAAAATGGCATGTTGTTTTTCGGGTATTGCTTTATCATGTGTTCCGAGGGATTAAGAGCAAGATTGTTTGTTCCTTGGCTTATTATCCTTTTTTTGTGCAATTGCTTCACGAGTCTAGATCCCAGATCATTCGAGTATGGTAGGTAAAGCAAGATACTAGTAGTTTGCCTAGTCTTGATTAACAACTAACAACCAAACAACTAAACAACCAAACAGCCAAACAAACAAACAACCAAACAACCAAAAAACTAAACAACCAGACAGCCAAACCACCAAACAACCAGACAACCAAACAACCAAATAACTAAACTGCTAAAAACATAACAAAGTAAACGAGCCAACAAACCAACAATTTAGTAGTAGCTAGATACCTACTGACAAACTGACAGATAGAATGACTGACTGAGTGAATAACTTTAACTAGTGAACTATTGATTAATTAAGTAGCTAGCTAACCGAATAAAAGAAGACGCCAAAAAGACAGAAAAAACGAAAAGATTAGTCTTTTTGTATGAAAATAGCTGGACTATTTTCAAGTCACGGCAGATCAAACACATAGGAAGGTTGTGATCCAAGCTGATTTCAGCATCTCATCATGCATAATTTATTTTCCGCTGCCTCTTTTTTTTTTCTTTTTTCCTTTTTCGTAGCGTCTGTAGGTCCATACCAATCAATTGGATGTTACAAAGATTTTAATGACCGAGCCATACCAACTTTGGAAGGGCAAGATTCGATCCTAGATGGCAAGTACAATGCACGGAGTAACTCTATCGAGAAATGCTATAAAGCAGCGAAGAAGCGAGGATTCCAAGTGTTTGCAGTTCAAAATGGGGGATGGTGCGCCTCAAGTGCTTTCGCCATTGGGACGTTCACCAGATATGGAAAATCGTCAGCTTGTAAGTCAGACGGCGAAGGTGGACCATGGGCCAATCAAGTTTATTATATCAAAGGTTAGTACATTAACATACTTTCGATCGTTTTACATGTGTTCGTGTGGTCTGATCGCAAGACTGTTATCGGTAGTATTGACAGACGTTTCGACGTGAGAAGTTGTGGTTCGTGTAAACTGATCGCTCAGTTTAGCCGTTATTTTATTGGCTGTAGCGTAAGTCGGTCGTGAGTGGTCGTTTTACAGTTGTTTGTCACTGAAGCCCTTTCAGGAATAGTTAATTTTTTTTTGTTTTTGTTTCAGCAATCATTTTTAATCTTCTAAAAAGGCGCTGTCGTTTTGTTCGTCGTGCTAGTTCTTGTGTCTCGTGATACTGCTTTCGCTTTAGTGGAAACATCGACTTTTACTTTTGAAATGTTTCCCTTTGAGCACAATCTAAGATATCCTGATTTCGTTTTGCTAGTTTGAATTTCTTATATGTATCCTAGGTGAGTCACTTTGGTATTGTGTTGAGATAAGAAACAAAACAGTTTACAATACTGAACAGTACCAGTAGCTGTGGTATTAGGACACTCCCTAGTTTAGAGGGTTTGAAAAGAATGAACTGAGTTTGCTTCCACCAAATTTCCTTCTCTTAGGTTATCAAGCCGTAGGATGTTATACAGATACTTCAAATCGCGCAGTGGAGACTCTAGAAGGAAAAGATTCCATCTTAGACGGCGCCTACAGTTCACGTGTAAATCCCATTGCAAAGTGCGCGGTGGCTGCAATGCGAAAGGGTTACAATATGTTTGCAGTTCAGGATGGCGGCTGGTGTGCAGCAAGTTCTACTGCGCCACAGACGTTTGACAAATATGAAAAATCCACCGCTTGTAAGGGTGATGGCAAAGGTGGACCCTGGGCCAATAATGTCTATGTCGTCAATCGTAAGTGCAAATAAAGACTACACTTTTGGGATCATTTGCTCGAGAAATATTCAGTAAAATTCGAAAACAGTTCGCCCACAGAGGGTGCAGAGAATATGAGCGATGTTGACAAACACGACAGTACAAGTCACATAAGCTGATCACGGCTGGCGTATGACTGAAGTCACACTTACCGGATGTTATCTTTCTAATTTGCGCCTACTGAGCCATGAAACCTACACACAGCGGCCGCACCTCTCTCAATGCCAGCTGCTGCTTTTTGTTTTCCACTGAAGTCTGACCATCATTTGATTTATAAAATATTCAAATTTCAGCGCTCGTTTTACCCTACGAAACGATCGGATGTTTTCAGGATCATGATGACCGAGCCATACCGACATTGGAGGGACAAGATCCTATTTTGGATAGAGACTACAAAACACGACTTGATCCCATCAGCAAATGCTTTCAAGCAGCTAAGAAGCGAGGATTTCGTATATTTGCAATTCAAGATGGTGGATGGTGTGCAACAAGCGCTTCGGCTGCCAAGACATTCAACAGATATGGTAAATCGTCAGCTTGTAAGTCAGATGGTGAGGGTGGACCATGGGCCAATCAAGTTTATTACATAAAAGGTCAGTGCATAACATAGTACACGGTCTGAACCTGAAGTAATAGTCGATCGTATGGTGAGCTCATCGGGTAGAGGTAATTCTGAAACCTTCTAGGCAGTAGTCCTCATTAGACATCTGAAAAAATTTTTTTTCTAGGCTATCTCATTCGGACGATCACACCGTATTGTCGACTGTTACTTTGTTGTCGTCGTTGTATATGAACAGCGTTGTCGATCTTAAAAATGGAGCAAAAGCTATCACCATATAACCATTAAAATTATAGTGATAAGGGTTATGATTTTTTTTTTTTGGTAATTCTTTAGGTTATAAGGCCGTTGGTTGTTACAAAAACAACTCAAATGACTCTCTGATGGATATGGTAAGTAGTGGAATCGAAACGTTAGAGGGAAAGGATTCCAGCCTAGACGATGCTTACAATTCTCGTGAAAATCCCATCGCAAATTGCGCCGTGGCTGCTATGAGAAACGGTTACAGTATGTTTGCAGTTCAGAATGGCGGCTGGTGTGCAGCAAGTGCCGCCGCTTTAGAGATATTTGACAAATATGGGGAATCTACGGATTGTGAAGCTAATGGGAGTGGAGGACCTGCGGCTTATAACATATATTTACTGAAAGGTAATTATGAACTACTATAAAAATCAGGGGCAGACAATAAACGCCACTCTTTCTGATTCTTTGAAAGCTATGCCTTTTGTGGAAATAGAATGAAAAGGCTCATCCCATGCAGACTCCTAAGATCTCTAGAGATGCTTTTCCTCAATGCATTCGTAAGAAGAATAAAAAGCTCAGCAGTACCTCGATTTAATACAAGTGGTAGATGATTTCATTTCATTTAACCCTCTTGCGCATACTTCCCGCTATAATTTTATAACGAACCTTATCTCGAAGTAAAAATTATTTTACTTGTGGATGGTGTTACCTTACATAATTCCTTGGTGGCAATGAAAGCTTTTGTCGGTTGTGCAGGACTGTAGCAGCAACGAAATTGAATCATAATAGGTGACGTATGTTCTCGACATACAAATGTTTTCGTTTGTTTCTCAATATTTAGATCACGTTACGTTGGCTCTATCAGAATGTTATCTTTGTCGAAGCCATGAGGAGGGTGAAAGCGATCAAAACATGTCCCTTCTAAGGGATCAGTCATTACTTATCTCCGGGGGTGGGGTCGGAGGATTTTTGGCAGATCACAAATTTTCATGGGAAACGGAGGAGGGAGCAATCGTCTCTGACGAAATTCAAAAGGGGCACTCTAGAGAATTGACTACTAATGGGGGGGGGAGGGGAGGGGAGGTTCGTTAGAATACTGCGGAGACTTTTAAGGGTATCAGGTTATTAGGACACAACCAACATTCTTCGAACCCCACCCCTCCCAAGGTGGTAAATAAATTGACCAGTCCCTAAGCTATGATGCATGATTACGATTGTGGTGTCCTTTTTGTGGTCTCCAGGTTACGTTGCCGTTGGTTGTTACATAGAGAAACGAGATCGCGCAATTGACACATTAGAAGGAAAGGATTCCATCTTGAACGACTCTTACTATTCTCGTGAAAATCCTATCGCAAAGTGCGCCGTAGCAGCCATGAGAAAGGGGTACAGTATATTTGCAGTTCAGGATGGCGGCCTCTGTGCTGCAGGTGTTTCTGCACCACAGAAGTTTGACAAATATGGGAAATCCCCGAATTGTGAGGTTGATGGTACTGGAGGACCCGGGGCTATTAACGTATATTTGATGAAAGGTAAGGTATAACAACTCTTAAGGATACCTAGTACTGGGAACAATTCGCAGAGAGCATTTTTTGACGCGTAGTTGTAGATCACTATCTCCGACATTTTGTGTTGTCTCGAATTGATCCAAAAAACATCGGGTAAAAGAAAATTGAAAACCTGATACTTACATATTCTGTGCGATACTCAGTTCAAAAACAGTAACAAACGAACATAGCAATCTCCGACACGAAACTACTTTTAGAACAAAAACCATGTGCTACCGAGCCACATGACCTAATCAATACCAGTTCGTTCATTCGGCCGCTAGTCGGCCCCAACATCCGGCAATTACATACTGTCCTCCGAAATCAGTTAACGCCACTTTTGATAATGCTTTGCAAACTGTGTATTCTATTGAAAATAAAGTGAAGGGGAGATCTCATCAGATTCCTTAAAATCCCCCAAGTTGCCGTCTTTTCCCATCAATGTGTTAAGTACTAAAGAGCTCTATATTCCCATGTTCAAGGCAGATTCAATGATAACTGATTGCGATATCAAACATAGAAATTCGAGGACTACCTCACATTAGCGTTCGATGTATTTCAAGAGCTGAATGATTTCAATTTTATTTTAACTTTTACCCAGTCCTTTCTGCTAAAATGCTAAAGTGACTTGTCAATGCAAAATTAATTTACAAGGAGTCATTTATTTTATTTCTTCTTTCCCCGATATTCAGGTCATAAAGCCATTAGCTCTTGTAGAACGTTGTCATTGTGGACCCTATGAATGGAGGGAAAGCTACCACGATGAGTTCCATCT